GTGTTATTGGTGCATATTTTGCATAACACCAGGAGAAATGTACAAGCACATTATGTGCTTAAATGAGCAGTGAGATATAAAGATTTCCTGCTGCCTTCAACATTAAAGAAATGAGTATTTTCTTTCAGTAATCAAAGGAAGGCTCAGTTGGAGAACTACAATCAGTTTGTTCCTTGATCCAAACCCTGCATCTTTTTATGGCCAGGCAGCTCCAAACAGCCACACACACACGCACAAAAAGCATTTCCACTGTCTAAGAGAAACAAAGAGACTGTGCAGGAATCTTTGTAACATCCTGTAGGATAAGTGGGTTTCACTATGGCATGTGGAGGAGGATGGTGTCATAGATGGATGTGGAAAAGTGGTATTTATTTGTTAGATGTATATTCCAGGTAGTTTACAATAAAAGATAACAAAAAATCATAGAAACAAAATAAGATATTACAATAAGGTATAAACAACCCCCCCGCAACACCTAAATTTCAAAAGCAATCCACATCCCTTTCCACTCCCCTGCCTCTAACTCTAAGGAGCAGAAATGAAGTATGAATCACTGAAATTTACCTCCATGTAGATTGGATGCAACAGGTCCCACATTTTATTTTAGATCATGGCTTGTACTGTTACTGTGGAAATTAATATTTACCATACTATGCATGAAGATGAATCCTCCACATCAACACCTATATTGCTATTCCAAACCAAACCATATGATTTAGCACCAAAGACCACCGATTCTGTCATGATTCATTTGATTGACTTCCTGATGCAAGGAAGGAAAAGCTTAGCCCAGGGGTGGGCAAAATGCAGCCCGCAGGCCAGATGTGGCCCACCAGGCCATTCTATCCAGCCCACAGGGCCCCTAAAAATTTTAGAAAATTAATATCCATCTGCCCTTGGCTGCCCGTCATGCAGCCCTTGATGGCTTCCCAAAACTCAGTAAGCGACCCTACGCCTGAAATAATTGCCCACCCCTGGCTTAGCCCATACAGCAGTGGCTGCCCTATCCTTGCCCACTCCAGGCTAGATTATACAGCTCTAACTTTTAATGCTGCTTGAAGTCTACTTAGAAGGTCTGTGGGGCAGAGTTGTACTACTACCTAGTGCATCTACAGGTGATGGATAGTGGAATGACCTTCAGGGAAAGTTAGCTTTGAAATGAGCAGGGTTAACTCTGATATAAGCAGTCACGGGCCAAACAGTGGCAGCATCACCAGGATGTGGTGAGAACAGCAGATGGCAATGATTTCCATCCTGAAAAGCCCCATATATCCTTTGATGATGCTGTGACATGGTGAGTACAGGTCACCACTATTATAAACCTGCCCCCAGCCATGGGACTACAAGTCCTCAACGGCAGAACAGAAGGGAGAAATTGTTAGAATCTCAGTGACTGTGAAGGTGGATGAAGGCTGCAGTAGAACGAGATCTCCAGTTGTCTTTGTTTCCTTGCCATTGGATCAAGGTCCTGTTTTGTCAAGAGCTGTGTGAAAGCTGATGTGCAGTAATTTCTCCACGCTAGAAGAAGTCACACACAGGTGTCTTCCATGACAACAGCTTTTCTAGGCCATTCCTCAAGCCCTTTGGCTACTAGCTAATGGTGACAGGAGCAGGATTGTGAAGTCTGGAAGCTCCTGGTCATGAACTGGCATGAAGGCAGCAGTTACAAGAAGGTCATCTAGCACTTGGATGAGACAGGAGTGCTATTCAGCAGCTGTATCTGTGACTGAGCATCCCTCTTCAGGATCTGCTCTGCTCACCCCACATGGGAAGGGGGCTAGAAAAGGTGCTTTAAACAAAACCTGTCAAATACAGTATTCTGTATTTCTTTCTGACTGGATAATTGCATCCAGTGGGATCACCTTTACTGTGGTCAAAAATACCAACAAAGACACGCCATCATTTTCAGGATCTGGAACATCAGGACCTTCATGTGCAATGCTAATATTGAATGCCCAGAGCACCACACTGCAATTGTGACCTGAAAACTCAGGCAACGCAACATCAATGTAGCTGCACTGAGCAAGACCCGGCAAGCAGCAGATGGGGCAGCTCAAAGAACATGCAGGCAGCTATACCATCTTTTAGAAGGGTAAAGAGGAAGGAGAATGCTGACTTCACAGAGTTGGTTTTGCCATTAAGGATGAACTCATAAGCTAGCTCAATGAGTTCCATATTGGAAACTGGCGGGGAGCCAATATGCTATGTCATAGATTCATAGATGTTAGGGTCGGAAGGGACCTCAATAGATCATCGAGTCCAACCCCCTGCATAGGCAGGAAAGAGGGCCGGGTCTAGATGACCCCAGCTAGATGCTTATCTAACCTCCTCTTGAAGACCCCCAGGGTAGGGGAGAGCACCACCTCCCTTGGGAGCCCGTTCCAGACCTTGGCCACTCGAACTGTGAAGAAGTTCTTCCTAATGTCCAATCTAAATCTGCTCTCTGCTAGCTTGTGGCCATTATTTCTTGTAACCCCCGGGGGCGCCTTGGTGAATAAAAACTCAACAATTCCCTTCTGTGCCCCCGTGATGAACTTATAGGCAGCCACAAGGTCGCCTCTCAACCTTCTCTTGCAGAGGCTGAAAAGGTCCAGGTTCTCTAGTCTCTCCTCATAGGGCTTGGTCTGCAGGCCCTTAACCATACGATCTGCAGGCCCTTAACCATATGAACCATGTCATCAGTGCATATGCCCCGACTCTTGATGCTGCCGATGGAAATCGAGAAGGAATTCTACACCAGCTTGACCAAGTCCTTTCTGACATTACAGTGGAAGACAGACTTATTCTTCTTGGTGATTTCAATGCCAGAGTTGGAAGGGACTCTAACCTCTGGAATACAATCATCAGCAAGGAGGAAGTAGAAAAGGTCAACTCCAGTGGCGTCCTTCCCTTGACTGAATGCACAGAACATGGACTTACCATCACTAATACTCTGTTCTGCCAGAAAGACAGGCACAAGACATCATGGCAATACTCATGCTCTAATCACCCATGATGTTCATGGACAATGTACAGGAGAAATTTGAAGTTGTTGGAGAAGTACCATCAATGTTGCCTGCAGAAGATCTTCCAAATCCAGTGGGAAGACAGATGCACCAACATTAGCTTCCTCCTGCCAGCAAACTCCATGAGTATTGAGGTGATGATCATTTGACATTAATTTCATTGGGCCAACCATGTCATCTTGATAGCAGACTCCAGACTCCTGAAGCAAGTTGTATTCTCCCAGCTCAGCCAAGATATACTCTCAAGAGAAGCGCTGAGAAAGCACTTCAGGGATGTCCTTAAGGTCAACTTAAAAAAAAAAAATACAACATCAATATCAGCTCTTGGGAGACTATTGCCCAGGACCACCCCAAATGGAGGAAGAGTATGCTGCAGGGATTTTGGTACTTTGAAACCCCTCAACAACAACAGGAGATAGAAAAGCAGGAGCAGCAGAAACAGCATGTCATGGACCAAATCAAGAATCCAGTGGCACCCACTCCACACAAAAACACATCTGAGCTGCGGTACAGTCTGTCAATCCCAGATAGACCTCATCAGCCATCTTTGGACACACAGATAAGACGATCATGAAAGACAGTCATCTTTAACTGCAAAAGATTGCCGAAGAAGAAGACTTGGAAGGTCCCCTTGGTAGAAAAACAGATGCCTGCCTCCGGAATTAGACAAGCCATTTGATATGTGTTCAGGTTTATGCACTGGATTTTTATTCATTTCTGGTGCTTAATGTGAATGCATATCTAGGAGTAAGTCTAACTGAATATTCTGTCAGAGTGGTTAAAATTGACTATGAGACTTTGTGCTGTTCAGTTCTGAGAGCTGATCACCCCAGAATGGGGACAAGATGTTTGAGGCTTTCCATCTTTGAAATCTGCTGTCTTCCTCAGTTTCACTGTCCATGAAATGGGGGTAAAATTAAGAGCTGAGCAAACAAAGGCAATTCCATTTCAGGGAGGCAAACATTTTTTTAAAATCCTTTGCAAAAAGGGATGAAGTCCCAGCTTCAGGGTAAATCATGAAGTGAGTTCTTGTGGAAGTATTGATTCTGGAAGCCCAGAGTCAATTAGGCAGTGCCAGGCAGGTTGTTAGAAGAGCCAGGTAGATTTATTGACAGGGAACAAGGTAGGTTTCTGTTGATAACTCACTTGGTTTCCAAGCAAACATCACTGTATTTGGACAGCCTCCATGGATTTTTTCACTATTGAAAAACTGATAAATTTTGACAGACAATTCCTTATCAGAACATATTAGATTAAATCTCCAACAGTAAACCTTACATGCCTCCCGCTCCAATTGGAAGAAGTATTAGCACTACTTAGAAGGTTTTGTTGTCAATGCATTTTACAAACATTGACCAACATTTTCAGGTTTGGTGCCCTAGTGGGTTACATCTATAAACAACAGCCTGATTTTCAGAAGTCCTAAGCATCAAAAATTCACATTGAAACAAATGGAAGTTTTTGGGTGGTGAGTGTGTTTCTGAAAAACTAGCCTCTTTTACACAGATGATTTAGTATAGTTTTAATGCCTAACTTCAGGCACTTCAGTGTGAAAAAATGTGGTTATTAAGTATAATAATAGTCAGCATTGCAATAATTTGCCAGTAGGGAATCAATGGAGATTGTGTAGAAACACTGGGAGATTGGCATGTTAACCAGGAGACCATAATTCTGCAAACATTGTTTTGCTTATACACATAGGGCTTGGGTTGTATAGGAAGGTATTAGGAATGTATCTGCATGTTAACAGTTCACAAAGCCATCAAGGTGCAAAAGTGGTGAGTACCACCTTCAGAGAACACAATTGTGGGCGGAATGTTCTTGCTGAAGATGTGTTTGTTTCACTAGATTGCCACTGACAGTAGCAATTAACAGCTGCTGCCAATCTTCTCATCTCTGGTGGGAGCCCCATGCTGATCTACCACATTTTTTACATTTGTTAGAATTAATTGCTAGCTAGTATTTGTATAACTCTAATTTTCTACTTATCTACAGCTGAAGTTCAGAGTGAAATTGAACGGATATTTGAATTAGCAAGGACGTTGCAGCTGGTAGTACTTGATGCCGATACCATTAATCACCCAGCTCAACTTAGTAAAACCTCTCTGGCTCCCATTATAGTCTATGTAAAGATTTCATCTCCCAAGGTAAATATTTTACTGATGTTAGTTCTGTTGTGGTCCATCCATTCTTTGAAATTAGCCATGGGTACAAAGAGCACATGTTCTCGTTAGAACCCAAAAAGGTTGGTTCCTTGAAATTTTGAAGGACAAGACTCTGGGTGCAGAAATAACATTATTGAAAGGATATTAAGAGTTACAAAAGCACTTTTGCAAATTAAGGATAGCTGTAGTTCCAATGTTGAAGGGCAAACTGAAGCCCTCTTGATTGTTTATTACTACATATATAATATTATTTTACAGAGTCCCTAAAGTTCCTTAACTATGAAGATGAGATCCTTACCCCAAAACCAAGGAGACGGTATAAAAATGAAGGGTATCAGCACAAAGAACAGCAGAATAAGTGGTGAAGTTTAGTGGTCCCTGTGTTCTGTTCTGTAATTTTTTTTTTTTTTTTTTTTTTTTTTAATTTGGGGTCATTTAATTTGCCTTTTCACTGTCTAAGGCTGCTAACATAGATGGGCTTCTCCAGGAAAATGCATTCTTAGAAGACTTGTGAAGGAGAAGGAGATGGTGGAAGCACAGTAAATTGGGTCTGTGGGGGCATTCTCGGCATAGATTGTCTCAATTTAGGGGATTGTGGGGAAAATAGCTCAAATATAATTATCAAAGGAGGAAGACATGAAAGGATAGGATGTGCTGGAAAAATGGAGTTAAGAAGGGAGGTCTTCTTAACTCCATTTTTCCAGCAAAGGAATGAGAGCAGAAAGGGAGACAGGATCAAGGTTGTTTTGGGGGAGAGAAAGCAAGGAAAAGGCTTTTGAAGCTCCTGAAATAGCATTAGGTGTGTTAACATTCAAAATTGTACAATTTGAGGTTTTCAAGTGTTCTATCTGAAAATCGTTCGAACACATTGGACCTGATCCTAGTCACATTCCTGCCACTGATGAATCTCCCGTTGAATGAATGGGAGCAGGATCAAACCCATTATCTAACTTTTTACCTCTGAATTCTTTCTTTTTCACCTCCTATTTTCACAAGTCTCTTATTTTCCACAGGTTTTACAGAGGCTAATAAAATCTCGAGGGAAATCTCAGGCTAAACACCTTAATGTTCAAATGGTGGCAGCTGACAAACTCGCTCAATGTCCTCCAGTGAGTTACTGTTGATTTATAATTCACTCATGTGGAAAGGCAGAAGAATCCTGTTTAAAGGGACTGTTCTATACTTTGTTTTGAAGCAAGGTGTTAATTTTGTAGCATTTATTAGTATTTGTCACCTTCTGGGCACATTTCACTTGTAATTTTGCACAAAGCCCTCCTGAGATCTGTGGATTGTGCGTGGCATAAAGGTAACATATATCTCTTCCATCAATACAATTGGCTCTGAGATATGAAAGTATTGAACCACCAACATTTTTATATGACTGATGGCTGAGAAATGAAATTATTTGTATATTTTTTTCTAGCTAATTCATCTAAACTGAACTGACCAAATGTCAGCGCTGTCTAAAACAAGTCAGTGGTCCATACAAATGGGGATGCATCATTGGAATTGGCTTTTCTTGTCATCCTTCTTAATTTCTACAAGGATGCATAAGGTATAATGTAACTGAGATGAAAGTTCTCCTGAGTTATGCAAACACTTTCAATTTCTCCATCTTGAAAGGGTAAATGGTGATTCCTTAACTATTCACAAAATAATAATTATTTCCTGTATACCACTGTACAAGTGTGCTGAACAGAGACCTAGAAAGACAAGGTCGTTACCCCGAGAAGCTAAGAATCGAGTCCAGTGCCTGATGAAGCCAGTAAAACTCTTTCCACAGATGGGTTCAAATTATAAAGAAGATTAGCTAGTTTATGTCTGTACACCACTGAAGTGAAAAATCATTCTAGAAGTGGTACATAGTTTTACTTCTGTTTCTTGTTGTTAGTTTTGACTCAAATGATTTTAGATATGGGAATTCCATAACTTTCCCTAGTAGTCTTTCATTTTCTTCTCTATTTTTAAGAAGAATGTTGCTACTAATTTAACTTCTATTTCCTTATGTTCCATATGTTATTTTACTTTCACTGATTACTTGTACTTCATCAAGTGGTGATTATTGGAAATTACTTTAAGAAGTATCATATTGGTCATAGCTGTTGGTGGTAGGTTTTTTCAAGCCCACTGTTTCAGAGGGGAGGAGGAAGGCGGAGTTCTGCTACAATAATGGGACCTTAGTATGTGGTAGAATGTTACTATAGTTCACTTGATATGTTAGAAAATGTTTTTTCAAGTGTGTCTGTTATCAATATCTGCTCTAGTTTATTTTGGCTGAGAAAGTGGTTGTTCTCATTATGTCCCCTTTAACAGGAAATGTTTGATGTAATTCTGGATGAGAACCAACTTGAAGATGCCTGTGAGCACCTGGCTGACTATCTGGAAGCCTATTGGAAGGCCACACATCCTCCCAGCAGCAGTCCTCCCAACCAGCTCCTCACTCGCACGCTTGCAACAGCCACCCTTCCTGTCAGCCCAGGTCCAAATGCTAATTCACAGGTACAGGTTTTTTTTATTTGCCTCCCTTGCTAAGTTTCTGGAAACTGAGAGAGGTATCAGGGCACAGAGTGGGTAACAAAAATGTGCTAAACATTTAGTTGAAAACACAACTAGGAAAAGTATTTGCCCTTCTTAATGTTCACCAGTGAAGATGGACACATGATTGTTATCTCCATGGTATTCACAGTAGTATTTCTTTACTTACTTGCTGACCAGCAAGACATTTTTTGGATCGCAAAGGCTGAAACAGCCTGATTGGAAACACCTGGTACTGTAGAAGATAAGGCAGGTAGTATCTTGTAGACTTCATCATGTACTGTGAATGGATGTGAAATGGAATACTTCTGATTCCATCGGGCCCAGAACAACCCAACCTCTGCTGTAGTAACACAATTACCAGCCATTAGCACTTCTGTAAGTCCCCATATATGATTCAACTGTAGGTATAATATGGGGTTAACAGCCTCTGATAACTTTTCAAGGGAGCTTCAGAGCTGGCCCTGCCACAGTAGATAGATGGAACTGCCCAGCATGCCTTTGTTTCC